TTCTTCATAAACAGAATGAAATGACTGTTGGTCCAATCTGGCAAATGTGCATTCAGGACTATGGTCTCAGAATCTATTTAATGAACAAGTTCAGAGAAAGAGAAATAGGGAGAAAATGCCACAAACACATAGGTCTATAGCCCACAATCACCTGAAAAAGGACATACAAAGACATACTTGAAGAACAGTCTCCTTGCAACTGCCAATAACAACTGACTTAGAATGCTGCCTGTCTGGATATGAGCTTAGGGGAGGAATTTAGTTTTAATCTTTTTTAATGCATAGACTTAGTGATCAACTTTAGGATACATATGGGTCTGGAGATATTATCCTAAATTCAGGACCCTAGGAAGTATGCAGGTCTGGCATATGGCACCAAAATTTACATTTTAATCCATGACTCCTCCAGCTTCAGTGTGCCACATCCTCCTCTTTCCTTCTCGGGTGCTTAAGCACAAAATGTCAAGGGGGACAATTTAGCAATGCAAACCAAAGCTCTAATCCATCACCTGAGGCTGATAAAGTTTGAAGAAGGTGGTATAAATACTTTACCACTAGTCTATCTAGTATATGTCACTTCTAATTTAAAAGGTCTTTAAGCCTTTGAAAGGTCAATGTATACACTGCAGTATATCACAGAAAGTGCAATCCATCATATGCCTTCAGTGGTCCACATTCCACAACCCTTTAAAGTTTTAAGCTCAGAAACTCAGAGAGTGGTCACGAGAGCTCGTGCTTTCCAAGTACATTTTTCACCCTGAGACACGCATTCTAAGACATTACTCTTTTTGTGTTCTTTCCTATTCTGTTTTCCTCATTTCGGAAGTGTTCATCCCCTGTTAGCCCATCTTAAGCTCTATGTTCTCCGCTTCTAGGAGATGTCTTAAGCTATTAATGTTAAGCCTTGCAAATTCTATTTTCAGTATTTGTTTTCATTTTTATAGATTTTATCATTAATGTTTAAATTCCTCCTATTCCTTTTGAAAATGAAGCATCTTAAATATGTTTCCCTTGTATCACCTATAGAAAGTGCTTTATACAAATTAAAGCAGGTTTCTTAAAAATGACCTTGACCCAACCATATCACAATGACATGAAGAGTAGGCACAGTGTATATGTTTTCTGGCTGCAGCCTACCCAGGCTGATTGACATCTATATTTTTAAGCTATTAGAGGATGCACATGGATCATGCAGTTGGAATCACTCAGTCAGAGACAGGTTTCCCTAAGAATCTCTTGAAGCAGTTGTAAAGATTCACATTCCATAGCTCTGGCAGATCTAAACGATCATCCCAGGAGGAGCAGTCTGGGCATCCATTTGTTTTTAAGAAGTCTTTTCCATCACCACCACTTACTATCCATCACACGATTCTAACAACACGCCATGTCAGTAAAATGTTGTCTCGATTGCTATCAGTCCTTTCCCAAAGGACAAAAAATAAGTTTTATGGAATAATGTCATAGATTTTCCTCGACATTTTGTTTTAGTTATAATAACTCTCATGATTTAAACATTCATAGCTTGAGAAATGTTAACCTAATAATACTGAATTTATTTTCCATATTATTTCTTTGTGATTAGGTTAATAGCCTTTCAGTTAATTTGATGTACAGTAAAAATAATGAAATCTGTAGTTGGTTTGCTCTGATAAAATGGCTATCCATGATAGCAACTTACAAATGATTTATGTAATGTAATAACCCTAACTATAACTGCATATATATATATATATAAAACTATAACTGCATATACATATATATACACACACACATATATAGAAACTGAGTGCAGTCTAAGCTACTGTGAATTGTGTACTATCTCTAAGGTCTCAACAAGAACTATAAAAAGTCCCTGGAGCTTTTCCAAGGGCCCTTTGACTCTATCATGGAGTCTGCTCATAGAAGCAGAGAAACATTTTCGTAAAACCTCAGGACCTCTTGGGTGGACTGAGTATGCACTACAAATATGTGACATTTACCTGTTATTCGGCACCAGTAAAGGGCTCTTCACTTTTCCCTACCCCTTCTCAATTGTACAGAATATGGAATGATAAGATTCTCAAATGCTCATCAGGTTTATTGAATGAAGTAGCACATCTGCAGTAAAAAGTTAAAAGTAGCCAGGCGGTGGTGGCACATGCCTTTAATCCCAGAGGATCTCTGTGAGTTCAAGGCCAGCCTGGTCTACAGAGTGAGATACAAGAAAGGCACAAAACTACATAGAGAAACCCTGTCTTGAAAAACAAACAAACAAACAAACAAAAGTTAAAAGTAACTGTGTTGGATGTTTTATATTCCTCTCTGTATTCACTGTGCACATGTTTTGTTGCAAGCATTAAAAAAAATATTACAGAAGATGCTCATAGAGCAAAGGATTAGAAAAGCTAAAACAGAACCATCTCATTAATTTCACCTTTGCTGTTTGAAAGATGAATTACTTTCTTTCCCTAGAAATGTACATTTTTGTTAAAAAAATGTTACATTTGTTTATTAAGGTGTGTGTGTGTGTGTGTGTGTGTGTGTGTGTGTGTGAGAGAGAGAGAGAGAGAGAGAGAGAGAGAGAGAGAGAGAGAGAGACAGGCAGAGGTACACACACACATCAGAAAATTGGAAGAGTTGACTCTCTTGCCACCATGTGAGTCTTGGGTACTGAATGCAGATCTCCAGGCTTGGTGTAGCTTTACCTGTTGAGCTATCTTTATGACACACACCTTTCCTTTTAAACTGCTACAGTTTTATTTGTCTCTTTAAATGTTTTAACTATTTTATTGCACATTTGTTCAATTAATTCTCTAAATGATGATTTATAAGTGCTTAATTCTTTTTATAATAGTTATGATATTGGTTTAAACTATTTTTCTACTATTAATCATTTCATTTCTTTTTAAAGATACCCTTATGGATACATTTCTGATTGCATCTTTAATCATTTTTGCTATAAAATATTTTTTAAAGTGGGATGACTATGTCAAATGGAAGTAATTTTTAAAAGCTCATGACCTCTATAGACATCTCAATTGTTTTCCGAAATTTTTGTCCATTTAAATTCTATCACTTTTATATATGTAGGCAGCAAACCCATTGTATCAAATATCAAAACAAAGCCATTTGTGTTTAATGTTTAATAAAACCTAAGGAAATATTCAGTTTTGGGACAATGAATTTAATTTAATGTTGTCCACTTTATATTTTTCTGTGCGTTCATTTACCTACTTTTAAATGTTTGGCCAGTGATTTATAGATCTATTATTTTAATAGTAATTCCCTTTCTACGACAGAATGTTTTTCTCCTATGCTAAATTTGACTTTAAATATTAATGTCTATTTAGATGGACATGTTTGTTTCCTGAAAATGATTTTTTAAAAAGTTTGTTGTAACAAATCAAAGATTCATAAAAGCTAAAAGATTTCCACAGTGGAAGCCCTGTAAATAACACCTATATTATACAATAAACATTATATTTTCTTCAGAATGTATCTAATAACCTATTAAATATTTTATTACACTGCTCATATTCATTTTTTTTTGTTCCTTACCTATAGGAATTGAATCCATAGGGATGATTTTAGAAGTGTAAATTCTATTAAGAGTATGTTATTTTTAATCTTGCTTTCTATAGGACTTCCAGCATCTGGAATAGGCATATCACACTGTGCCACTCATGAAATAATTATTGACTCAATGACTTTTCTCAAAGGGGCAGGTGCGGGGAATTTTCTGTTTTTGAATGATAAAGATAATTTTTTATAATATTATAGGCCCCAGGACTTTTAAACTATTTGATACAAAGTAGCATAGTGCAGTCTAGGTCCAGTAAGCTAGAACTAGCCATTTCAAACGGTGTGCAGATTTTCCGAAAAAGGGTGTATTAACATATTAAAGACATCAAATATGTTTCATCTACAAATAACCAAAAATCATGTGGCTAAATTGTCATCACGTCTAGAAAACGGTTTGCATCTTTGCGCGACAGCATCACATATCTTGGAGGAAATTACCATTCGAAGCCTTTACTTCCTTGCAGAAGATGGTGAGCTAATGCTGAAATGCCAGCGAAGGCAGAAGAACAAAAGACTGTTGCTGGCAAAGCAGCTGACAAGAATGGAGAGAGAATGCTGTGGATTGTAGAATTGATCTCATTGAGAAGGAATTGAAAAATAATGCATGGTACTTCAAAGGGGGAAAAAAACCTCCTGTCACGGATCTTTTCAGTCCAGCTTCCTGGTGGAGCAGAATTGTGGAAACAAGCTAATTACTGTCTGTCTTTTACTCTCCTGGTGAGGAACAAAAGGGGAAAGGAAGCTACCCATTGTTTTCTGAGTTTACTGATGATGAAACTTTCGTATCTTTTCTGAGGTGTCTTTGTGTCAAGATAATTCTGCCCTAAAGTTGCAACCAGAAACATTTGGAAAGTGTAGTTGAGATACTGGTGGAAGTATTAAGGCTGCTCCACATAGTTAAAAGGGAGGTTTATTTTGTGGGGTAACTTACAAGTAAAGGGATAGGTTACAGGGTCGGAAAAGGGTGAAGTGCAGTCCAGCGGTGTTCTCTGGGGGAACTCTGCTCAATCTACCTCCAGCATTCAGGATCCAGGAACCAAGAAAGCCGGCACATCGGGATCTCAGGTCTTAAGGGCTCCTGTCTCGCCCCTGCCTCATAGGCATGACAGTTCCCGGAAGCCTCAATGTGGATAGTACTTCCAGGGCAAAGCTGGAACAGCTACCCACTACATGAAAGCTTTAAACAAAATATCCAAATCCAATCCCACACCAATGAAATGAGACTCTTTTATGGTTGGGTGAGTTTGGGAGGGTTGAGTGCATTAGCAAACATTCGCCAGGGCAGCATGCACATCACAAAGAGGAGAATCTTCATAGCGTGTGAAGTTTTCCTCCAGAGTTCTGTAACTCCATCACAAGGTGACAAAGAAAAAGCTCTTCTCAGTGACTTAAGATTTCAGCTAACTCTCATGTAAATATCAGGCCAAGTTCAGGGCATTGTTGGAAAAGACCAAGGGAAGCAGTCATCAAGAGTGGTATTTTCAGCCGGGCGGTGGTGGCATACACCTTTAATTCCAGCACTCGGGAGGCAGAGCCAGGTGGATCTCTGTGAGTTCCAGGCCAACCTGGGCTACCAAGTGAGTTCCAGGAAAAGGAAAAAGTGGTATTTTCTAAGTATTTCTAGATTGCTGATTATTTATAAAGATCAAATGATACTGGGTAATAACTCTGCCATGAAGGAACTAAAGCAACAACAGAGACAATAGCATATGTCCCAGTCCTTAGTACACAGCTCTAGAAATGACAGCCTTTAACTCCTCTGCTTTAAATATTCCCAAGTGAACACAACATCACAAAGTTGGAGCCTGCTTTCCAAGATCAGATCCTAATGAAGTGGTGAGGAAAGTTCTACGAATGAATGACTGTCTGAATGGCGAGCCTTTCCATCAGTACTGAATACATCTTATTTAATTCTTCCAGACAGAGAGATTCCCTTCACTTTATGGACAGCTTTCTCAGTAAGTAGACCCGAACTCATACAGTCTGAACCGAGAGACCTTGCTTCACAGTGGCTGTTTCCCAGATTGACTCAGCTGCTGACCCATTGCAGACAGTTAGAGCACTCTTGGTTTTTCCCCTTCAGAAAATAGGAGAGCGGTCTCATGGCTATGCTCCCCTCCATATTTACTTGCTCTTGTTTGCAGCAGAATTTTAGAAGTAAGTTCTCCTAGAGTAAGAATAAGTTCATACTGATTTGTAATATATTGCCAAATCACTTTTTTTTTTCTTTTATGTTCATCGATATTTTGCCATGGGTGTTGGGTTCCTGGAACTGGAGTAACAGACAGTTGTGAGCTGCCATGTGGGTGGTGGGAGTTGAACCCGGTTCCTTCAGAAGAGCAGTCAGTGCTCTTAACTGCTGAGCCATCTCTCCAGCCCACCAAATCACTTTTTAAGGACTTTTTAAAACTAACTCCAAAATGGCACTCATATCTAATTGTTTCTAATTTAATTAGTAGATATAATTTCATCTCCTTTTGAAACTTCTATTTGATGCATCAGTATAGAACTCTTATTGTGTAGGGTTTGGTTATCCATTGCAATATTCCCTGATACATTTCAATATCATTGTAGAAGTTTTTCAGTTGTAATGATTTGGGGTGGCTTTTTTTTTTTTTTTTTTTTTTTTGTGGTTAGAGCCTATTTCTCTAGTAGTGAATAAGGCCCTCCATGGTAGAGGTCATTCTTATCTGCTTCATTGCTACATTCTCCTCCTTATTATCTACCGTGCCTGGAGCATAAGTGTGTCGAAGTTATACAAGAATTGGCATACTGCTTCCCACATCTACTGGAAGAATTGAGTGAACTGGTGTTGATCATCTACTGTTACATAGTTTAAGACAGGAAGAAGGCCAGTGAGCAACTATCAGAAAAGAATACATCCAAAAATAGGTAAGGCACTGAAGATTCTGAAAACCAAGGAAGATAGTCTAAATGACTTGAGTGGGAATGATCTGAGAGGCCTTCCAGGAAGAAATAAAATAAAATCTCTTCATTGACAAAACTTTTTCAAAGGAGAGCAATAGTATCTTCTCTGTTGCTTGAAGCTCCTGCCAATAACCACTCAGAGGAGGCAATGGACCCAAAGAGAACAACCTGCATGCTGTAGGTGCTAAAGGAATCCTAATTGGCCCAATTAATGTGATGACTTTAATTTGTAAGACAGCTAATGGTATCGAATATGCTTTCTTGGAAGCCAATCCTCTCTAGGTTGTAAAACAGTGAAGAGAGCCGCCGAGGCACTCCTGGAGTGACTAAATACTGTATTTGCTCATTGTTTTACCCACCCCTTTCCTCCCCATAATTTTAAAGAGAAAATAAAAGGTATTTTCTCTCCATAGAAACTGCCCTGGCATGCTGCCTTTGTTGGGACACAACCCAGGGCAGATGGGAAGTGACTGCTTATCTCACTCTTAGGACAGTCCCAGAGAGGGTCTCTCAGTGGTGTCTGTGTACACCTAGGTCAGCAGTTCCAAATCCTGGGAGCTTTTGCTCTCTTCTGCCGAAATAAGCATGGTTATTTTCTTTAAAATCCAAGAGTAAACTGTGATGTACGTGTGTAGCTGAGGCAAACTGTTCTTGTCACACCCTGCTGTTCCCTTGAGCTGAAAAGCATCACAATAAATTGCTGGTTGTCACTACCCATGGAACATCTGATTAGCTCCCTTGCAATGTGATCTCCTGAAATAGCCCTCTCCTTCCCGTCTCAGCTCCCTTGCTAGGGAACAGCGTGCTCGGGGCTCTGCTCAGACAAGGCTTGCTGTGAATCCTCTCAACAAATTCCCATGGGATGCTCAGAGTTTTGAATAATCAAGCAATCAAAGATAGTCACCAAGAATTAGGAGCTCGATATGGGCATGTGGATTTATGTAGCTCTCACTTGAAGTAAGAAAGCCTTTGACATGAAAAAGATTAAAAAAAAAAAAGATATTCCGAATGACTCTTCTTTTCCTTTCCTTTTTTGAATCGTCACTTTTTTCTTTTTTTCTTTTTTTGCTTTTAGCACAGATTTTGGACAAGGTCATGTAAATAAAGTGGAAATACATGATACATCACTGATTATTTCAAAATCCTTGCTGCATGTTTCTATATTAATGAGTAATAAAGGTATATTTTTTCAAAGCCCTAAATTTTACTGGGGATCAATACTTATTCAAATATATTTATTTATTTACTTATTAATATTTATTTATTTATTTATTTTAGATTTTGAGTCGTGGTCTCACTATGTAGCCTAAACTGGTCTTGAACGTATGACACAGCCCCAGCTCCCTGACAACTGGGATTTACCCTATAGTGCCCTGCTCATTTTTCAGTGTTTCTAGACCAACTCTCAAACAAATAGTTCTAATCAACTAGTAAGCAAATTTTAAACCAGTCAAATTCTCTTGTTCTCTAAGGTAGCCACTAGTTAAGTAAGGCTGTTTTGTACTTAAAGTGTGACCGACCGATTGATGCTGAATTACACTAGGTATAAAATACACTGGGTTTTGACAATGTTATAAAAAAGCATAAAATATCTTATTAAAATTGTCACTCTGATCTCACATTGAAATGTAGGAATTTTATGTATTATTAAATGAAATATATTATACAATTAATTCTAGACATTTAGTTTGTCTCTCTTAAGTGAGAGCAGCTAGAACATTTATAAGGGTCTATCTGAACCACATAATACTTCTATGCTTCAGCTCTGGCATCGCTGAGTAACCCCTGAGAAAATGTGGAAAAGTGAGTGCTACCTGAGAGTGAGTTGCCTCTCTGAGAGAGCAGAGCTGTCTTAATCATAGTACAATGTGTGGCGAACAATTCGAGTGAATATGTGCTAGCCAGACGAAACCCTGGGACAGGCAAACAGGTACAGACTGAGGCCAAGGAGGCAGACCTTTAAGTTCCTCCTGACTCCACTGCCCTGTCCTCAGAAGACCATTTCCACCATGACAAGCACTCAGGGCTCCAGGGCATGCTGGTGTGCCATCATCTGAGCCTTTGCTTTTCATCTTCAATCTGAACTTTTGACCAACAGACATTTTTAGAACTGGCCTCAAGCAGGAACTCTGATAGCATTTAAGAACAAAATCATAATCTGTCTTCCAATGCAAGTATGGCCAAAGTGAATTTAGTTTTATTTGAAAACATTTGCCTTTGTGAAAATGCATACTTAAACCAGATTTTTTCTCACTTTTTAGTCTGATGTGGCAGAACCAACTGCTCTAACAGTTGAAATGCAGATTCCAGAGCCTCCCCACCAATAATGATAATCCCATAGGCTTGGACCAGGGAACAGGAATCTGAGTTTAGACAGCATCTGTCTATATATTCCCATGTACTCTAACATGTGTGAAGCATCAAAAGCTATAGTTTTTGTTTGTTAATTGTCCTTTTTTTAAAAAAAATATTATAAGCAGTTGTGTGATGGTGACCCATGCCTTTAATCCCAGCACTCGTCAAGTAGAGGCAGGTGGATCTCTGTGAGTTCAAGGCCAGCCTGGTCTACAAAACAAGTTCCAGGACAGCCAGGGCTGTTACACAGAGAAACCTTGTCTCAAAAAACCATATATGTATTTCTCTCTCTCTCTCTCTCTCTCTCTCTCTCTCTCTCTCTATATATATATATATATATATATATATATATATATATATATAT